CCCACTGCTGTCGCTGTCCTGTGCAAGCATTAAGGATACGCCGGGTGAACCACTATATGCCACTAGTTGCACTGAGGCAACTTACACTAGTTTCAAGCTGCACCAGCGCAGAGCACCGGGGTAGAGTTTGCACCAGGGCAGCAGGGACAGCCACCAAAGGCAGAAATCGGGGTGGATCCCCAGCAAGGACAGAGTCTCAGAGCCACTGAGGTTTGTTCCTGGAGGAGGAGGGGATTGAGGGACAGGGGATAAAGCAGCTGAAGTCAGGAGATGTCGACCCAGCTGGGCTGTTCCTGTGCTTTTTGAGTTCTCATTAACATCTCTGAAAACCCCAGTCTGTCATTATCCAGGAAGGGGCAGCAGGAGACCGTGTGGTCTATGACGTCCGGATCCCTGAATTCTAGTTCTGGCCTGCTTTGTGACCTTGGAGAGGTCACTGCACCTCTCTGTGCCTCAAGCGATCCAGCTGAGAAGCTGGTCTGATCATGCCCGCCTACCTCATACCTTTGTGATTGTTGCTTACCCAGCCTCCAGAGACCTCAGCAACATGGTAACTGAGGGCCACTTGGTGTCTGAACAGCATTGCTCTGGGGAAAGGCAAAGCCCTTTAAAGAGAATGATCTGAAATGGGAGGAGGTGGCGCAGAACTTTATTAATAGACAGTGTTACCCTACATGTCATCATGGGTGATATAAATAGGAAGGGAGTCTGGGAATCAGCATCACAAGTGAACAAGCAAAGCAACATGCCTTTAGCCAGGGTGGCAATCTCCCCAGTGTCACTCAGCTTGAATGTCCTTGTGGATCAGGAGGGGGCAGAAATGCAAAGGGATCAAAGATTGTATCCTGCTTGCATGTGCAGAATGCTGCTGGTGGGTACAGAAATTCCCTGGGTGACAGGTCCTTGAGCAAATGGCACAGAGTGATTTTCCAAAACTCAGACTCAGAGCTCAGTGGTGTTTGTGGTGACCCAGATATGTAAAGTCTGCAATCGTTAGCTGAAAGCGGCTGGCTTCCCTTCAGTTACTAGTAGCACTGTTATACTAGGACAGGCACAAGAGGCCAAACAGTAGTGACAAGTCTGAGTCATCAGCAGAGCAAATGACACCAAATAAAATCAGGCTCCTGAGAGGACAGATGTTAAATAAGGTCTTCCACAACTTGTGGTCATTAAGGATTTCAGCACATGTTCTATTCAGGTTGATAATTCCCATGTCCCAGCCAAATTCCAGGTCAGGTAGTTATATAGTGCATCTCAGCAATTCCAGGTGGATGCAGGATTCTTCTTCACTTCCATTCCTAGTCTGTTGTATGGTGCAGTTGTGTCTCACCCCAGAGACAGCTGAATTTCAGCGGTGAGTGAAATGATCCCTGCATATATCCAGCACAGTGGTGTTGAGAAGCTTAGTTAATTCATTAAGATTTGTAAAGCACTCCGAGATCTTTGGATGAAAAGGTTTTTAAGAAGTGCAAAGTATTGAATATAATATCTATTCTCAAATGCTCACTTGTCTACCTTCCAGGAGCTAGTTGCTATGAAATTTTGGCCGTGGGCATCTACGTATCCAGTCTTCTATGAAAGATAATGATTTGCATATGGACCTGTAACTTTTCAATCAACAGAATGTAAAAATCCACATGAAATACCTCCCTCCCCATCCCACCCCTGTGATAATTGTGCTTCTTGCAGGATCTTGGAAATATCCAAACACTTGAGAAAAGCTGAAATCTCTCTTAGCTCAGTCCCAGTTTGCACCATCTTCCTGCCCCAGACAATAACTTCACGTGAGTATTAAAATTCCTCACCCACACGCATTCCTGGGAGCGTCATGTGTAACACACCATTCCCTGGAAAATACATGCATGATAAAAATCTTACCAGCTAAAGATGTGGTTGCCAGTTGTCCCACACTGAGACCCTCAAAAGGTCTCTAGTGGTTTCTCTTTGATCTCAGCACTGACTGCTCATCTGTCCTGCTTGTGAAGACTGGAGCTGGGAAGCCTGGGGGAGCCATGCCTAGTGAGGAAAGGGAAAAGGGTTTAACAGCAAATAGCAGATATTTAGAGGCCTGCAAATCTGCGGATATCCGCTTTATATCTGCGGACCATATTTGAGGCTCGCAGATCAGATGTGGATACAGATACAGATGCAGGGCTCTACATATATTTAGCTCCATATCAGTGTATATAAGTGTATATTACGCTCTCATCTTAGAGCCCCTGGGCGGGATTCCTCAGAGGAGCAACCTGGCCTACTGCTTCTTTCTTCTCCCCTATATTTTCCCCTTGTTACTGTCCCCATTTATTGTCCCTCAGAGGAACTGCAAAGGGAACTGGCTCCCGAGGGTTCCTTCAGCCCTTGCAGGTGAAATTCCATTTGCTCCAGTGGAACTGCACTCGCTTGCTCCAGGTCTGAATCCAGTGCTCGGAGACCATTGGTTGGAAGGTGCTAATGGCCTCCAAAGCAAAGCACCATCGCTAGTATAGTGAATATAATTCATTTGTATTCACATTCGGTGCTAGCTGAGATTCGTACCCTCCCCGAAGTCTCCCTCTCTGTACCATGAGGGCTGGCGGAGCCCATGGATTAGCAGTGATGGGTGAAACTACAATGGACCACTGCTGTGTAAGTGTGGGGAATTTTTCAGTAGTCTGTGATCCCCATGCCAACCCTCCACTGATTCCTTCCAGGATCTTATTCAGTGCAGCGGAGGAATGGGGCGAATCTTTGACTCTATGTTGTTACCCAGCCTGCTCCCTTCAGGATCCTCTCCTGCCCAGGATTCTGGGTTGAGTTAATCTATGGCATTTGTGACTCCATCTCAGCAGAGAGGGCTGTTGTCTTGTCCACACTAAAGCAGTAAGCCTTTCGTGGCACAGGTCTCACATCTCCGCTGCTCATAGTAGGGATGATATTGTCCTTTCCAATGCACCCACCAGGTGCCCCAGAGGGAGAGAACCTAACAGGTAATGATCAAGTGATCTCTCTCCTGCCATCCATCTGACAAACAGAGGCTAGGGACACCATTCTTTACCCATCCTGGCTAATAGCCATTAATGGACTTAACCTCCATGAATTTATCTAGTTCTCTTTTAAACCCTGTTATAGTCCTAGCCTTCACAACATGTAAATGTTTCGTTGTACTGGTATAACTTAAATTGGTTTAAAACCCGATGTAAGTTAAACCAGTGCAAAACCCTGTATGGACACTCTTCTATGGGTTTAAACTCACTGTGTTGGTCAAACTTGCAGGTGCAAGCTAAACAGATCTAAGCCAAGTTTAAATCAATATAATAGCATCCCTACATAAACTTGCTCTGTTTTATCTAAATCATTTTAAAATCACACCTTAAGGCTTGTCTATCAGAAGAAGTTGCACTGTTATAGCTTTCCTTTTTCCGGAACAAAACCAGTACAACTTTGTGTGTAGGCCAGACCCTTGATTCTCTGGTAGTAGTCCATCAGTGATCCAATGAACAGGATCCACAACCCAGTTCCAGGCAGGGTTTGTAAATACAAGCTGATTTTATTGGTGAGTCAGAGAGAAAATCACATAGTAAAAGGGGTGGTTTAAAAGGGAACGCTCTATTAGACGGGTCATAATGCTGTGTCCTTGACCCCAAAGTTAAAGAAAGGCTTTCTGTCTCCAAACATCCCAGTCTGTCACATGTCCCAAGGAAGTCTGTCTCCCCGTCCTAAGGAAGGGCTATAATTTAGAGTCTTTCTCTTAGCTACGTGTTAAATCTAAATTAGTTTTTGGCATTAAATCATAGCCCTGTCGCCAGAGCAGGATGGTAAAACCTGTTTGAGCCCTGTTCCAATGGCTTCTGCCTTGTTATTCCCACCACCTTCCATTTTGTGTGTCAGCTAAACGCTTCTCCTGTTCCCAAACATGCAGGAACATTTCAGCAACATTCTGTTTAAAGGGCAAACTTTTTTCTTAGTGCCCAGCTTGGATAACTAGACTGGGCCCTCTGGCTGTTTATGGGAAAGAGGGGGTATCCTCCTATCTGCCTCACAGAACAAGAGTAGAAAACATTGGTTCCTCTGGGAGTGGGCTCTCCACACCTACACAAGCAACATCTGCTCACAAACTGCAGCCACATACATACAGACACTGCCACAGTCTTCAGGAGGATTGAACCAAGATTTTAAGCAATAAAAGTACAACCTCCTACCACTTGACCTACAGAAATAACTCCATTATCACCCACTAAGTACAGGTTATTATCCTCACACTGGAGTGAGTCATCAGGAGTCATAGTCATGTGGACCAAGCTAGTGTATTACATGTAATCATGAAAGTATTTTGTTCAATTGAATGCCTTACAATCCATACCTTTGACCTATTTACCTGGACAAATCAGAACGCTGCTTGGCCAAGATTAGTGCTCCAATGTATTTAGGTGCAGATTTTCTGATAACAGATAAGCTCCGAAATGTAATACAAAACTCTAAATCACAGATCTGGCTATATGTGGTCTGGCCTGTGGACACGTGAGAACTCTACTGCCCTGAAGAGGAATTTGGGTGGACATAAATAGGGGCATGACTTGGGGCCAAATGTTGAGGAAATGGACTCTTAGGTTTCCTCAAGTGAATAACAATGTGTGTGTGTGTGTTCTCATGCAAAAAGAACATGTGTGGTGCAAGCCATGGAACACGTATGAGCAGGTAGGGAAATGTCCGAGTGCTACTAACAGAAATAGCTGCATGCAAGTGTTTGGGCAAATAATGGAAAATGTGCATACAAAAAGACATGTGTGCACAAGGAGATATGTATTTGTGCAACAAACAGAATATGTATGTGCACATGTAATCCACGGTGAGGCTATGTTACATGTACCCATGGGCAGAGGATGTGAGTCTGCTACACAGCCCCAGTCTGGCTCAGACTTTTGGCTCTGGAGGTCCCCGGTTCAATCAGTGGGGTGTCAGCCAAGATGGCAGGCATCACGAGGGGCCTCGTGCAGCCTTATGTAAATGTGCAAGCCGCAGAATCTGCCACCTATGTAACCTGAGCCTGGCGCCCCCAAATGTGACCAGCAGCTGCCCGTTATGAGGGCTCTGCGTGCCCACATTCGGGCGCTGCGACCTGGCATGCGCGGTTGCTTGCCGCCCTCAGCCGAGCTTGCCCATAGCTAGAGCGACGTCTTTGTGCGAAGTCCATATGCAAGTAACGGGCCGTGGGCGTGCAAAGCACGGGGGTGTGCCGTGCTCCAACCCCGCCTGCAGCCCGAGCTAGAGATGTGCCCGAGTGCCCGACTACCGCCCCGTCGCTGAGGGTCCCGCGCGCGCACAGGACCCCTAAGGCCACCGGCGCTGAGGGGTCATGGAGGCAAGGGACCGTTCCCGCGCGCTCCCGAGCCGCGTACGCGCCCAGCGCGCTCCCTGCTGTGACGCAGCCACCTCCACCACCCGCTTCTAGGCAGTCAGGTGACTCCACCTTCTTGTGACGTCAGCTCAGCAGTGGCGTCTGAGGCAGGTGGCAAGAGGGCGAGTGAGAGAGCGAGAAGCGGGGCTGCTAGGCGCGCAGGTATCGTGAGGCGGCGAGGGCTCGGCTCGGGGCGGGCGGAGCCCTGGGCTGAGGGGAAACGGAGGGGGGGCCCGGGGGAGCTCGGGGCGGGGGGAGGTGAGGGAGCTCTGGGGAGGGAGGTGGGTCTAGGGGAGCCCTTGACTGAGGGGGTGAGTTGGGTTTAAGGGAGCCCTTGACTGAGGGGGAGTGGAGGGTGTGGGATGCATCTGGGGAGCCCTGGGCTGAGGGGGAGGGGAAGGGGAAGGGTGGGATGGGCCTGGGGGAGCCCTGGGCTGAGGGGGGGATGGGGGAGCTCTGGGGAGGGGAGGGAGTTAGGTGGGGTCTGGGGGAGCCCTGGACTGAGGGGGAATAGCAATGCTGGACTGAGGGGTGGTGTGGGTCTGGGAGAGCCTTGGGTTGTGAAAGAGGCTGGTGTGTGAAGGAGCCCTGGGCTGCGGGGGAGCTGCTGGCTGAGTGCCTGGGATGGGGTGGGTCTCTTTGGGAAATCATCCTGGTGGCTTCTCCCCACCCTGGCATGGTGAGCTGGGCAGCATTCCTGTGGTGAGGGGCTGCTTATCTTCTGCTCTCAGGACTTGTGAGAATCACTTCCCCTGTCAAGAGTGGTACAAAGAAAACAAGGCACATCTAGATTAAATCTATCAGGGGAAACTTTATAGCTCCAAGAACAGGATCTTGCTGCCTCAGGACATTGGTGTTGGGATCCTGCAGATATGAGACCAGCATAGACACTTCTTAGTTGGAGTGGCTTAATTAAATAAATACAGCCATGAGGGAGGGTGCGGCTGGCACTGGTTACTGGTCCCAGAGATCCTATGATGTTTCTGCCCCCTCCGTTAGCCCTAGTTATTTACATGAAGTTGCTTTAAAATGTTTAAGCTTTCCTTGTGGGGAGAGAGACAGTTATGAAATTAATGGGCTGTTTGCTTTGTGCTGTGGTATGTTCTGTCAGGGTTAATAGCATTTATCTCAAATGCATTTGTTTGTATATATGATGGACACAATGTAAATGAATTACTAGGGCAGCCGGGCATCTTAGCCAGTGATAGGCACATTAGCATTGTCTGAGTTAACAGAGACATAACCCACATTAGAGGCTAGTACAGGGGTGGGCAAACCATGGCCTGGGGGCTACATCTGGCCATTCAGACGTTTTAATCTGGTGCTCAAGCTCCCGCCAGGGAGCAGGGTCCAGGGCTTGCTCCGCTCCGGCTCTCCAGCCGGGGGTCGGGGATTGGCCCCCTCCACGCATGCTGTGGCTCCACCCAGCTCCCAGAAGCAGTGGCATGTTCCCCCTCTGGCTCCTACAGGTAGGGACAGCCAGGGGGCTCTGCATGCTGCCCACGGCCCAAGTGCAGCTCCTGTTGGCCAGGAACTGTGGCCAATGGGAGCTGCAGGAGCAGCACCTGCGGGCAGGGCAACGCGCAGAGCAGCCTGGCCACACCTCTGTGTAGGAGCCGGAGAGGGACATGCTGCTGTTTCCGGGAGCTGCTTGAGGTAAGCGCTGCCAGAGCCTGCACCCTTGCCCCTATCCCTACCCAACCCCCTGCCCCAGCCCGGATCACTCTCCTGCCCTCCAAATCCCTCAGTTCCAGCACGGAACACCCTCCTGCACCCACAACCCCTCTTCCCCAGCCCCACCCCAGAGCCTGCACCCCCAGCTGGAGCCCTCACCCTCCCATCCCAACACCCTGCCCCTACACAGGCCCCTGCACCCTGAACTCCTCATTTCTGGCCCCACCCCAGACCCTGCACCCCCAGCCAGAGCCAGAACCCCCTCCCACACCCTAATCCCCAGTTTTGTGAGGCCTGCCATACAAGTTCCATGCCCAGATGTGGCCCTCTGTTGAAAATTTAGAGAGAGAGAGGTTTGATAGGATAGAGAGGCATAGGAACTCTAACGTAAATAGTCAAATCTCTTGTTTGCTGCTGGAGAGACAAGGTGGGTGAGGTAATATCTTTTGTTTTCTGTTTGTAGACTTTTTCTAATTTAGATACAATAAAATTATTATTTAATGTTTTATGCTTCTTGTAGAGCGTAACTTGCCTGTGTATAGAATTTTTGCATTTAACAGATTGTCCTGGCAGTATACTTGCCCAGTATGCCTTAAACATATATTGGGAATCATTACATGCATAAGAGTGATATTGGAAATAGGCACTTCATGAGACATGAAATATTGTTTCAATGTTTATGTATGTTTGGAAATTAAAAAATGACACTATATGGTTCAGTGAGTGGAAAATAAATTTCGGTCTTCAGGGAAATGGGGTAAGATAACAGAAAGTGTAAGTCAATCAAACTGGATTCAGATAAGTTGTACTGTTAGAGTCAGGTTTTGGACTATGACTTAGTGTCATGCTCATTTAGCTCTGACACTGGTCAGTCAAGAGGAGGGCTGTAAAGACTCATCATGTGACAAGAGGAGATCACTTCCTCTAAGGCCTGGCTACACTGGCCTATTCGCATAGCTGAAGTCAAAGTATCTTAGTTCGACTTACCTGGCCATCCTCGCGGCGGCAAGTCAACCGCCGTGGCTCGCTTGTCGACTCCGCTTACTCCTCCTGCCGAGGCGGAGTACAGGTGTCGATTCGGGGATTGATTTATTGTGTCTAGACAAGACACGATAAATTGATCCCCGATACATCGAACCCTTAGGGTTTAGATGTAATTAAGTTCCACTTAATGATCTGTGCAAACAAAAATAAAATTTTAGTATGATTATAACTATTAAAAATCTGACTCAAAATCAGTATTCTAATTTTTGCTGTTGTTGTATATCCTAAAGATAGTACTGTGACATTAGCAATGTACTTAACCAGTTATCCATCAGTTCAAATGATGCAACATTAGCTGGCAAAGTGGGAGACCCAAACTCAGATTTAGACTTTGGCAAGTTCCATACCACATGTAAGAATCTACTGAGTGTTTATTGAAATGAGCTGTGGGCCTTGTCAATTTCATTAATTGTGTTGGCATAAAAGTATACAAATGTTGTCAGTGTGGATTTAACTGCACTCCTGTGCCATGTGACTTGTGAAGCTGTTAAACAGAGGAATCATGCGTCCTTCCTCTGGACTGCAGCTAAGGCACCATATTGCAACTGTATATAGGGTATGGAGAGATTAAGAAATGGTAACAGAGAAGGAAGGGGCAGGGAATACCATTCCAACGGTCAACCTGACAAGAAAATTCTGCTTTGAGGAATGTGAGTCTTAAGAGAAGATGGAGAGAAAAGTGAGCACAAAGACATTTTCTACACAAATATCTTTACTTGTGTGCAATTTGTCTTAAGGTCATATGCTGATCCCATTTACTGCTGCGAGAATTCCATTGCACACCTATGGCAGTATGTGCCCTTAATCATCCCAGCAAAACTTCAATCTTACTGACATAGGCAATTAATTACTGCTGCTCTCTGTCTGGGGATGCTGTCAGACTGTCATTTAAGTAATAAGCAACATATTTCCTTATTTTTTTAAAGGATTTTTAAATTAACTTATGTGCTACCGTGTTATTAACTGTTCATCAGCTTGAACAGTGTGACTGTTCTAGTCAGTTTTCCTCTTATCAGTCTTAGATTCTGGTTTTCATGCACTGTTTGTGGTTTCATGTGAATATTAAAATCCAAACTGTTTTCATTATAATTTAAAATAAAAATCCTAGACCGTTTTAAACAAAACCTAAATTTGAGGCTCAAATTTATCAAGTGTCTGCAATGTTGCAACATTAATACTGTGCAACTTGCAACATTAATACTATGCAAGTGTCTTTGTAAAAGAAAACATTAAAAACACAAAAGCTAAGATTCTGTAAAAACAAACAATTATGCTAAGGCCACAATTCTTCAATGAGCGCCACACAAGTGCGGGGTCTGCCTTTCACTCCTTTGCAGGGTTGTGATGTAAGTACCTAAAACTGTAGAGCTTGACTTCAGTGGAGCTGTGACAGTTTTCAATGGCTATGATCTGCCCCTGTGACTTTTCCTGTATCAATGACTTCAGCATCCCTGGTACCAAGCCCCATGTGGTTTTATAAACCCTACAGCATGTCAGAGAAACTTGAAGACCTTTTTATATAATTGCAGGTTTGGTATAATTACAGTGGCAACATACTGGATGTAATTTATCTTGATTCAATAAAGCTTTTCTTGTAAGAACCACATACAGCCGCTTTCCAGCTTCTAGCTCTTGTTTATATAAACAGAGACAAATGTGTGGGTATAAACTGGGAAACAGATCACAAGCAGTGAGAATTAATAGTGCAGCCTTAAACTAAGGGGAAGTAACAAAGGAAAAGTGGAATGTGCTTTGGGCCTTCTCCTCAGTGTGTTCCCTAATAATCCAGAAGAAGCTGAAATTCCCTTGTGAAGGGAGGATTATAGCAGTGGAACCCTGGAGCTTGTGGGGGTGTATTGCTGTTGTGAAATCTTCAGGAGATAAAGAGCAGCAAGCTCAGATTCTGCAACTGTACCATGCTCCACAAATGGAGATTTTCCATGGGAAGGACATGATCGAAAGTGACATCAATAGAACTGGCCAAAATATTTTCAACATAGCTTTTTTCCATTGAAAAATACCATTTCCTTGAAACTGCCATGTTTCATGGAAACATACTGGTTTTTATGACAGTTTTGTTGGGAAGGTTTCTGAGGTGCAGGATGGACTCTGGTCAAAATGAGAGTGTGTGCTATAGCCTGGTGGTTAGCGCACTAGTCTGGAATGTGGGAGTGGGGACTTTAACATGGGCCTCGCACATTCCAGTCTCTTTCTCCTGCTCCCTCTTCTCCCCCCTTAAGTGAAGACTTTGAAAAGTCTCTGTTTCATTCTTTAAAGGAACAAAAATGTCTTTCAAAACCTCAATGTTTCATGAAATAGAATTGTTGTCCTCTCCCGCTTTAATTTTTAACTTCGTTGGTGCCTCTGAATTAATCTCCTTTACAAGTGGGGACATGAAAGAGAGAGTCTCTTCACATAGACAACCTCTAACTAATAGCAAGATT